GAGATAGCCCCCATGGGGGGGAATGAAACGTTACGTCTGAGTGATGAGAGAAGGGGGGGAAGAAAGGAATCAGCGCTGCAGCACGAAGGTTAGGGAGTTTGGATGTCACGCATACACGGTCCGTTGAGGGCAATAGGGGAGAGAGAGAGAGGTGGATGGAGGGAGAGGGAAGAAGGGGCAAGGGGAGAGAGAGAGGGAGGAGAGAGAGTGTGGGGAAGGGAGGGGGTGGGGTGGAGAGAGTGAGTGAGAGGGGGAGGATGGAGGACTAGAGACAGCCACCATGGGGGGGAATCAAATGGTACGCCTGAGCGGTGAAAGAAGGAGGAGGAAAGGAACCAGCACGCTTCGGACGGGTGGTGGTGGAAAGGGCTACGCCCATCTGGAGGACGGGAGTGGAGGAAGTCGTCGTAACACTTAAAGGGACCCCCTACATGGGAGTAGGCACCTTGCCTCTAGCACGGCAGGAGCAGCTGGGTCCGATGACGCGTAGCAGAAGCCGGATGCAGGCAATTGACACACACAGTTTATAAGGGTTTCTCCCAGACTGCTGTTTTAATGCCCTGATGATGTCAAAACTAAAAACGTGACTCCTGGGTGTAACCATCTTCAAATCAATAAACTGTGAGCACCAGGAGTATAATAAACTAAAAAAGTTTAATAACACAAATACACACCAAGCTTTCGTCGGAATCTTCCGACATCGTCAGGGCTAAATGCCAGTCCATGGGAGAGTCCCTTTATAGGCAACCCGTCGTCTGCACACGGCTCCTGGATCTTGTCACCAGTCCCAACTGATTGGGCTGCGCCTTAATTATAGCCTTCGCGCCGGTGACTAATCTTTTCTTGCCTCTCCTGCCTACGTGTGTGATGCTGCTAACTATCTCTGCATGTGGCCTTGGGTCCGGTGAACTCCCTCCCCCCCTTTTTTGGTCATTCAGACTCTCCGTATCCCTCAGTTCCTCCCCCTTCTCACCCTCCTTCCTTCCCTGCGCTGATGGTCTTGCTGCACCCTGTTCCCTGCCCCCCTCCTCTTTTCCACACTCGTCACTTACAGGCCAGTTGTTATCCCTCATTCTATGGGGCCACCTTGCCACCCTCTTAACCCCTCCCTTAACTTCCATTCTCCTCTCTTCTACATCCACATGACTCTCGCTCTTCACGTTGTTGTCCCGTGCCTCCTCCATTTCTTCCCTCCCCCCGTCTCCGATGCGTGCAATCTCCGTGCTGACACCGCCGTCACCCCCGCCCTCTGGAAAAGGCCTCTGGAGCCTGGATCAGGCCACTGGGGGGCTGCAAAATTGCTCCGTGGCCATGGATACAAGTTCCAGAGGCTTGGAAAAGGCCTCTGGAGTCCAGATCTATGGCCGTGGAGTGATTTTGTGATGCCCCAGCGGCCCTATCCGGGCTCCGGAGTCTTGGAAAAGGCCTCTGGAGCCCAGATCTGTCGGGGGGGCGGCGCAAAATCACTCTGCAGCCATAGATCCGGGTGGTAGAGGCCTTTTCCAGGCCTCTGGAGCCTGGATCGGGCTGCTGGTGGTCCGCAAAATCGCTCTGTAGGCATACCTGGACTCATGCTGGTAGCTTCCATTCAAAAAAAGGTGCTGGACCGCTGTTCCGTGCATTGTAGACAAAAAAGCCCTGCCTCCACCATCCAGCCTGGATCCACCCAGCTCTTGCAGCTGCTCCCTGACTCCCAGTGCAGAGAGAAAGAGAATGAGAGCGCTGGCACACGTGGAGAGGCGGAGGGGAGCAGCCCAGCCCCGCGTCCCTCTGGGGCGATGGCGCACGTGCCATAGGGTTGCCACCATGGCTCTAGGTTGTCTGGCCAACAAAATGGAGTGAAGAGAACTGCGTTCACTTTTGTTTTCTCTTGTTAGAAGGGAATGTTTTAAGCTCATTTAGAAGGAATTTTTTGTTCATTTGCTTGTTTTATTTGTGCATTTTCTGTATGTGTTGTAGATGGGCTTTCTCTGTCTAACCTTCTTTTGAAACATGAGGTGTGTCTACCCACAGGAGCCTCATGAGCTCAAGTTTGCTTGTGTAGGGAAATAATCTTCTTTTTATGTTACCTTTCTTATCCTATCACTAATCAGTGAAACTACTATGGAACTAATCCTGGAACATATAAGCATTTTTCAATCTTTAAAATAATGTGGTCTATTTTAAAATAAATGTTAAAGGTAGATTCCCCATGCCCTCACAAATTGTACACAAAAATTACTAGGCTTATAAAATTATTTGAAGCTTTCAGCATTTTCAAGTTGCCCAGCATTTTCAAGCTGCAAGTCCTTAAGTCCTCTTTAACATGTTGCAAATGTTCAGTTTCAGAAATGAGACCTTTCATTTTTTGTTGTTCTCTTACCAGAATCCAGCCTCTCTTTTGTCCTCATCTGTGGTGTCCCCATTTTGTCTGTTTATCTGTTTCTTTAACAACTGCAGTATCAATGCCTTTTCAAACTTGCCTGCAAGCTACTCCTTCCCTTTCCACCTCTCCATTTCTTATCCTCTGTTCTCCATGCCTTTGTTTGATCAATACTTCCTCTCCTGGGAGAGTCACCCAGAAAAGGGGGCAGGGACCTTGTTCTCGTGTCTTTCAGCCCTGCACAGATGACTCAGCAACCTTTGGAAGCAGAGCACACTGACCCAGACACTGCCTCCAGAGGAAACCCTCCATCCATTTGAGCCAGGAAATTGGGATTTGGATCCAGCCATCCACTAGAAAGTCACCATGCAACCAGAATGGAACAGATCTTCCCAAGTCCTACATCCCAGATGCCTGTGAAAGCTGCAGAGAGAGGAAGGAGTCCTGGAGCCATTGGCTCTCACGTAAAGCCTCAGAAGACAACTGGGAAAACTATGGACGGAGGGCAGAAACATGTAAAGATTTTTTTCTTGCCTCATTTATATTGTAATTAAGTAGTCACATGGATTCATGGAGGGATGGCATTTGGGAATGGTTGGCACAGCAATTATTGAACACCTTGGACTTCTGTCTGGTGGGAGGAAAATTTGTCCAGGATATTTGTATTACCTGTTTTGTAGAAGTAGCTACATGCACATGCACACGCTGAGTCTATCCCCTTCACCTACCTCCATGTAATGCTCCCCAGGCTGGTTCTTGCTCTGTGACACTAAGGCCTTTGCATGCACACTTTTCTGCAAATTCCAAAGGGGAGGGAACCCCTCAGGTAATTTACAATTCATATGCCCTCACTGAGGAGGTAGCAGGAAAGAGATCGCCAGACCCAAGCCCTGAATATGTTGCACTGGTGGACTCATAGTGGGAGTCCTAGGGCTCACTATGTGCAATTTAATAGCCTGGCTTGCACACTGGCTAACCTCAATTGGACATCACAAATCTGGATGCACTAAACTAAGAGCTAAGGTAGGAAGCAACCCTTGAAAATGAGTAGCCAGTGGTTATGTACTGAGGCAAACATGGCTGTGAAGAATTTTGGGGGAATGTGCAAACCTGACTGGAAGCTCTAAGTGACATCCAACATCTAAAAGAATTGGCACAGAATGTTGGACACTATAAATTTCTTTTCCACCTGACAGAACTTTTGCCCTGGCTTTAGACCTTCATGGTTGAAAGGCTCCCCTTTTGAGAGCTGCTGCTGGGATCTTTTTCTGCTGCCTGTATTAGTGTCTTCCCCAGAGGGAGGCTCAGCCAATTTCACTGTATACATGTTATACTTTGATAATAAAGAGTTTATTACTTATATTACTTTATTATTACTTCCTGCATTAACAGTTTAAGAGCTTGTTTCCCCACATCCTGGAGCCCTCATGGAAGCGCCCATCAAGTGTCCCTGACGAGATCAATTTTTAATCTTGTGCCAGTAAAAGTGTGTCACCCACACTCTTGTGGCACAAAGGGGGGATTGTGGGAAGTCAGCCATCCCCCAGAGAAAGAAATATTTTGGGGAATATTAAAAAGGCAGAATATATTTCTCCAAAGGAATAATGGAGATCTTTTTTTAAAAGGCAGAAACCTCTCCCTCCCCCCAGCCAGAAACTCAGCACAAACCAGGTCCAGCTTGGACTGGACCCTGATGAAGATTTTTCATTCAACATTACCAAAGCTGGATGCGGTATTCCAGGTGTGGCCTTACTAAGGCTTTATAAAGGGGTATAATACTTCACATGATTTTGATTCTATGCCTCTGTTTATACAACCAAGGATTGAATTAGCTTCTTTGATTGCTGTCACACACTGCTGACTCATGTTTAAGTAATCATCTGCTAGGTCTCCAAGGTCCCTCTCACAGTTACTGTTTTGGATCCAGGTTTTGCCTAATCTGTACTTGTACCTTTGGTTTGTCCTGTTTCCTGTTTTCCCATTGGTTTCACATGATCTGTTTTTAACAAACCCATGCTGGCTATTAGTTATAATTTTATTTGTTTCTAGATGTTCACAGTTCTGCTTTTTGATTATCTTTTCCAGTATCTTCTCAGTTATTGATGTTAGGCTGATTGGTCTGTAGTTTCCTGGGTCTGCTTTTTTCTTTTTTTGAAGATGGGAACCACATCAGCTCTTTTCCAATGCTCAGGTAATTCCCCATTGTTCCAGGATTTTTGAAAGATATGGTACAATGGTTTTGAGATAACATCTGCCAGCTCCTTCAGAACTCTGGGATGTAATCTGTCAGGTCCCGGTGATTTATATTCATCAAGATCAGATAGGTGTTCTCTAACTATTTTCTTGCTTATTTTAATTTTTATTCCTAGTTTGTCTTTTACAATTAGTTTTTGGTAGGTTGGGTCATAATTTATTTTTGTGTGAAGACGGCCACCCACTGTCTAAAGCAAAACAATGCAGGAACAGCTACCAATAAAATATGCCATACAAAGTTTATGACATTAAAAATACTTCTTACCTCTTCTAAACTAAAAAGGACCCCCCCAATGGGTGCGCCAAAGGCAACAGAGACACCAGCAGCAGCTGCAGCGGACAGCACCTAACATGGAAACATCAATCCACATGTTAGTAGTCTGCGGAAAATATTCACAGAATATTAGTGAGGTGAGGTGAATGGAGGAAATGGTGAAACTACCAGTACCTCTCTCCTTTTTCCTTCATTCTTGCTATACTTGGAGAAGAGGCTGCTAAAGCAGTTACCACAGCAGCAGGCTACATGCACAAGAGGCCCTTCTTTGCCAAGACTGAGTCCTGAGGATACCACCAGAACTAAAGTTACAGTTTTGATTAAGAGCGTCCACTTGCCTAGATAACCTCGAATAATAAAGCCACTTAAGATGGTCTTTATCTGGAAGAGAAAGATAAACAAAAGTTGACTGATTGGATTTTTGTGAAAACACTAGAAAGTCTAGACAGATCAGCAATTCTTTTGCTTTTTGAAGATAGGTGAATATTCCGTACTGAAAAACATAAACCAGGCAGCCAGCTTTGAAGTTCAACAATTTCCTTTCCTTTTCCTACTTTCATCTCCATTAGCAGGGACTTCAGACTGCGTTTGCCTGAAATGCTGCATTGTAGAAAATTATTCCCTCCTCCTCTCACTCCCAATGGCAAAGTCATACCAACCCAGCAAGGAGACATTACCTCTGGAATTCCAGATCCACAAGCATAAGGAGCAAATACTCTGACAAGGGAGACAGCCAGGAAAGCAAATAACAATGCCCATAAGATGTATAGGAAATAATTTAGAATGTAAACACTGGCACCCTAAAAAAGGGAAAAGAAACAAGAACAGATCACTATTAAGTCAGTCCAAAAAAGGGCATAATTCTGACGGTTGTATGGGAGAGTGGGAGAATATGAAGCAGGATCTCTTCATCAACTAAGTTACAAGATTTATTTATTTTTTTTATTTTATTTTATTTTTTTTCAATAAA